GAGAGGTATGAGGCCTTGTTGCTGCCCATGAAGGGGGACTGGCCTTTTTCAGGGCTTGGCCCACCCACACGTCCAAAGGTGGGTGGGTGAGAGTAGCTGAAGGTCTGGAGGCAAACCCTTCTTCCACTGGCATAGCCTCGGATACCACTGAGGGCCACTCGAGGGCAAGGCTGTGGTGGCCACAACTCTGGCCTAAGCAGGTGGCTGGAATGTGATGGGGAGGCCTGGCCATCTTTAAAAAGTGAGTGAGGATTTTCTCTGAACTGGAAGCAACCCAAAATGTCTCTAATGATGGGCTGGGGCTGTGCAGGGGGGCGGGGGGGGTGGTCTGGGAGGCCACAGAGTGGGGATTCCGAAGGAAACGGGATGGATGCTGGAAAGGTCCTGGAGGCAGGCAGGCTTGCCCTGCTCATGCAGCGACCACCTCTGCCTCAGACCAGATGCTCTTTCTGCTCCAGAAACAGCCACAACTCCTTTGGCTGGGGTAGGGGGATGGGTGGTGGCAAGGCAGGGCCAGGGAGGGAACTGGGGCTGTCCTGGCACCTTTAAATTATACATCCTAATGCTTTAAAATCATTCCTTGCAATCAGTTCCCAGATGTGTCAGGGGCCCAGGGAGGAAACAGGTAGCCTGAGGTCATAGTTAGTTGATCATGACCCAAGAGGAAGACCCATCTTCTGGTTTACCTCCAGCACTCTCTCTGCCCTCTTGCTCCCAGAACAAGGCATTCAGAGGGGCCTCAGAAGGGCCCTGGCCCTGCCAGCCAGCCCACCCTTCCCACTTCTCTTTGTGCTCAGCCCCGAATCTGACTTGCTTTCTTCCAAGTCACTGAGATGCTGATCAGATGTGAAAAAGCAATTCGAACAGGGGCAGACATTTCATCTGGCCTTTGCAGGTGGCTCATTCGGGTGAGCTCGCAGGAAGAGAAAGAATCGGCCCTGCAGCCAGGCCCCAGACACCCGGAGCACAGCCCTTCTCCCCGGCCCGCCCCCAAAGGGCAGGCGAAGGCAGGTAACATACCTGGCTCCCTGCTGCCACTGTTCTTCCTCCAGATCGCCTCCCTGAGAGCACCCCTTGAATGTGGGGGTCTCGGCTCCTGGCTCCCAGTTTTTAAACGTCGGCCTCACCTCTGGAGACTCCGGGGCTGGGCGTAGCCCACTGCAGGGCGTGTCTCAGGAATCTGGCAGCTGGCACGCCCATCTGCCGTCACTGCACCCCCACAGCCCCAGGACAGGACTGGGCAAGTGGGTGGGTCCCAGAGGCCTCACAGCGAGCCTGGCAGTGCCCACCTGCCTGTAAGTGCCTGGGGGGTGGAGGGGAGCACGGCAAACTGAAAGCACCAAGCAAGTACTCGTGGCCATTCCAGAGCAGGACTCGGAGGGTGAGAAGGGCACAGGCATTCGTGACAGGCGCTGCACTTGGCGTTTCTCAAGGCGCGTAGGGGCCAGCTTCCTCTGTCCTAGGCCACCTGCACAGGAGGCCAAGCAGAGGACACAAAGATCAGGGCTTGTAGATAGGGTGCTACAGCCCAGATCTGGCACCGGGCTGGAAGCAAGGAGACCCACACATCCAGCACCCTGGGAAGCACCAGACCCACCCCTGCCCCAAGGAAAACAAAAACCGTGGAAAATCCCTGCTTCTTGGGGAACTCAGAGTAGCCTTAAAAGGCTACAGCTCATCAGGAAGGGGTCAAGGCCCAACTCACCCAAAGACGCTTAAGAGGATCTTAAGAGGATAAGCAGGAATAAACTCGAAATGCCTCCCCTCTGGCTCCCTCCCTGGCTCGGCAGGGAGCCCCAGGACAGGTGAGTCACTGCCCCCAGCTTAGGAGGAGGGCTGGTCTGCTAGCCTCTCCCTCCCTGGGCAGGAATGCCAGCCTAGAGGGCCAGAAAACAGGCCTGACCACAGTGGTGGAAGGCAAGGCTAAAGCGTAACCGGACCAATTCGCCCTGGCCCTGAGCCATGCCTAGAAACACAGCTTCCATTGTGGGACCCTGGGCAGGCTCCTGGCTCAGGGCCACCAGGCTGAGCCACTGTAAATGGCAATAACAGGCCAGATCAAGAGGACACTCTTCCCCCAGGTAAGGGTCAGAGAGCTTCAGAGAGATCTGGAAGGTCACTGCTGGCCCTGGAGAGCCTGCACTGGCATTGTTCGGGAGCAGTGTTGCCTCAAGTTTCTATTTAAAGGAGACTCTTAACTTGGAATTCTGGCTGGCAAGTCTCTCCTAAGCAGGAAGCTCTTCTACAATAGGAGGGTTACGTCCAAGAAATTGATTTGAGAACCCTTTGGGAGAAAATGTAACATTTTGTGGATTAAGCTGGAAATTTCTAACCCTCAGTTTCTAATTAGTCCAAGAAATCTAGATGGGAGGGAGGCATACTATAATTAACAAATGGGCAAAAAAGTTGTTCAGGTGCAAAATGGAAATTCCAATAAATGTTAATGTCTTGACCCCTGTAAGCACTGCAGTGAAATCTAGCTCAACCCAACAAGCCTGAGTCAATATAAGCAGACTCCTTTCATGGGCCCAGCCTCTGCAATGAGCACAGACCCTCACTGAGTCACCAGAGGAAGGTCACTGCTGACACCCCGGGTTTTGAGGTCACCTGCCTGGTTTCTTTCTCTCCACTTCTCCAATTCCCTAAACTCAAGGCTTCCAGGAAGCTTGGGTCCTCCTGGAGCTGCTGTCCTCTGCCCACTACCAGGAAAGAGTATGTCACAAACCGCTCGTTAACAGTTAACTCAGCAGAAGAGCCCGTGTTGCAATCCCAGATCCTCAGCCCAGGTGTGACTGGCGTGTGGTGGGCCTCACCTTTAAACCCCCCTCCTACTCCCCCGTTATGAGGCAGGAGCCAGGTAAATAAGCCTTTAGTGTCTCAGACATCACAGGCTGGGGCAAGTCCAGGGAGTGGTTTGGCTTCGCAGCAGGAAAATGGCAATTGCTTTGTTTGGGCCCCCCACACACTCCTGCCAAGTTCAGGATGTTATTTCTGCAGAACCCAAGAGTAGCCCAGTCAGCCTTACTCCTTAGGGACCCTGAGCACTCCCCAGGGTAGATCTAGTGCTCCCAGGCACAGGCTTTGAACTTCAGAACCCAATTTATTCAGGCACAAGAAGACTAAAATAGAGCCAGAGGCTGGCTTAAGACACAGCCAGGGCTAACAAAGAGGCAGGGGTGTGGCTCCACCACTGCAGCCTCCCCTCTGTGTGCTCTTCCCTCTCTCCCTGCCTCCCATTGTCCTGCTCTGGAGCCCTCAGCCCTCAGCGCCCACCCTGAGCCTGGGCCCACTTGAACTTACCCCTCAGGAAAATGGTTGGCCAAGTCATCCTGGACTCCTGACTCTCTCACCCCCACATCAACTTATCAGGCAATTTTGCTGGCTCCCCTTCCAAAGGCAACCAGGACCATGCCCACCCTCTTGTCTGAGCCTCTCTTCCCCAGACTTCTGCAATAACCTCCCAACTGGTCTGCAGTCCAGTCCCAACACCCCAGGTCATGGCCTCCCCTGCTCGGAACCCTGTACCAGCTCCTCACTGCAATCCAGGTCAAAGCCAAAGCCCTTACAGAGGCCCCACATGATACCAACCCCCATTACTTCTCTACATGACCACTGTTATCCCTCTTTCTCCTTCCACTCCAGCCACGTGGTCTCCTTGCTGTGCTTCCGAATGACCAGACTGCTCCTGTCTGAGGATGTTGCCCCAGCAGCTCTCTCCGCCTGGACCACTCCTTTTCCCATGTTAACTCTCTTATCTCTTTTAAGTCTTTGTTCAGATACCACCTTCTCAATGAGGCTGACTCTGACCACCTTCTTTAAAATGACAACCAAGTCCGGCCGGGCGTGGCTCAGCGGTTGAGCGTCGACCTGGGATCCAGGCGATCGGGGTTCGATTCCCGGTCAGGGCACATGCCCGGTTGCAGGCTCGATCAATGACTCTCTCATCATTGATGTTTCTATCTCTCTCTCCCTCTCCTTTCCTCTCTCTGAAATCAATAAAGATATATTTTTTTAAAAAATAAAAATAAATAAATAAATAAAATGACAACCAAGTCAGGTGGTACCAGACTTATCACTTTGTAAGTTTTATAAATGTCTAACTACTTATACCCCTGAAACTGATATAATATTAAATGTCAACTGTCATTGAAAACTAAAATATAATATAATAAAATGACAACCAAGCTCCCTGCCCCATCCCTCTCCCCCACCCTAGCACTCCCAACCCACCTACCCTACATTATTGGTTGGTTGGGATTTGTGTGTGTGTGTGTGTATGTGTGCGTGTTTTCAACTCTTACCTCCTTCTAACTAACTACATAACTTACCTGTTTATCATGTTCACTTTCTGTCCCCCTCCACCAGAATGCAATGTCCAAGAAGGCAGAGATTTTTGTCCATTTTGCTCACTACTATTTTCCAACTGCCTAGGAACAGTGCCTGGCACATGTTAGGTGCTCAGTATTTGTGGAATGAATGGACTCACACTGGAGAGTAAATCACTGATATAGGTTCATAGTCTCCATGCCCTTGTAGGTGTAGTTACACTCTCAGAGGGCATATCTGGACATTTGGTCACCAGAATGGATGGCTAATAGTAGTAATTCATACATCAGCCAGCTGTGGGGTCGGGAGGCCTCCTTTGAGACAGCTCCCCTCAGGCTGCAGAAATGTCCCCATGTTACTGTAGGCAGGCTCCTTCTCTGCCTGTTCATCAGTGGTTCCTGGCAGTGTCTCTGACAGGGGCGGGAGTGGCATTGGAAGCTACTGTCTCCATTATCCATATGTGAGACTTAAACCGTACAAATTGCCAGCGAGATCAGTCAAGATCTGATCAATGGGACGTCAAAGAATAAGGAGCATGGGAAGGAGGGTGGAGGAAGGAACGGAGAAAAGAGCTTAGGAAGGGTAAGAGAGCCTGGTCCAGGCTGTGAATGCTGATGTTCAGGCGTTGGAGGAAGGGGTGCGGGGTGACTAAGGCTCAGGCATCACCTGGATACAGTGAGTCATGGCTGAGTCCTTGTCTGTGGGACAGGGTGGGCTCCAGGAGTGGCCCTGGCATTTGCCACGTGACTCAAGCTGGCGTGGCCCTCTGCTCCAGCACAGCTCCTCAAGTGCCCAGACAGCCAGTCACTCGTCTGTGAAACAAAGATAGAAACAAAGAGAAAAAGCGGGGCTGCTATATTACTGAGCAGACAGGAACCAGCTTCAGGCAGAGGCCACAGTAAGCAGAGGAGGAGCCTGGGCTGCCTGTCGTGGGGTGAGTCTATTCCATGCCCTTCTCTCTACTCCCACTCCCACCTCCCCAGCCTGCATGTCTGCCCAACAGACAACCATGCACATTGGCCTTAGGCCTGAGATCTGGGAGAAATCAGACAGGCAGCCTAAATTAACTACAGCTAACATTTCACTGAGTGCCTGCGGCATGCCAGACACTGTGCTGAGCCCTCTGTATATATTAACTCATTTAATACCCACTCTATCTCTGTGGAGGCTGACACTCAGTTATCCTTCCTTTACAGATGGAGAAAATGAGGCACATTTTCAATAACTTGGTCCCAGCCAGTAAGTGGTCATTTGAGCCCAGACCAGTTTGCTCTAGCACTCATATTCTTAGCTGTAATTTAAAGCCTAATGTCACCTAAACTCCCTGACTCCACCCTTGGGAATCCTTGACCAGAGTCTACTAGACTCTAAACTTCATGTTTCTCAAACCTAATCAAGACCCAATATCTAAAAATTTATCTTTGAGCCCAGCTGGAGTGGCTCAGTGGTTGAGCATTGACCCATGAACCAGGAGATCACGGTTCGATTCCAATTCCAGGGCTTCATCCCCAGCAGGGGGTGTGCAGGAGGCAGCTGATCAATGACTCTCATCATTGATGTTTCTATCTCTCTCTCCCTCTCCCTTCCACTCTCTGAAACCAATAAAAAACATATTTTTAAAAATAAATTAATTAATTAAAATGTCTCTTTGAGCCTTGCTCCAACTCTTGGAGCACTGATGTTGACAGAGGGCTCCTGGGGAGACATTGCAGAAACATCTAGAACAGAGACTATATTTTCTTTGTTTTCCATATTGACGGCCTCTCTTGTGTGGGCACAGGTGGAGAAGGCGCTGGCCTCCAGATCCCTCAGCCCTGAAGCTCTGGTACATACCAGCAGGGGTTCCCCGTCACACCCATAGGAAGCTGCTCTGAGTGAGGAAGCTAGCATCTAGAAGGAGTGAGAATTCAGAGGACGTGACCGGACAAACATCACCGTGAGCTGACAAGATCACACAAAGGGCGTGATGACGCCATGACACAACTTCCTCCTCACCCGGGAAGGGAGGTCCCCTCCCCTGAGGGCAGGCTCTTGGGTCACCTTGGGGAGGCCTCAGTTCCTTCTGTTCTACCTCCCAGGGTACACCCCCAAATGTCCCACCCCTTCCCTCCCAAGAGGTACAGCCCGGTGCAGCTGCAACCTGGTGGTGTCAAATGCTGGCTCTTGGCTGGCTGGCCTCCCAGAGAAGGGGGAGGAGTACCTTGGCATTTCTGCTCCCATCACCGCCCTACCCACTGCCCTACCTTCCTCTGGCAGACCAGCCAGCTCATGGCCACACCCCGTCCTCCACCCCCAAACACCTCTACTGCCCAGCCTGGGCCCTCTGGGAATTAGATTCTCGGGACCTAAGTCCAACCTCTGTGACCTTTGATCAGCACGTCCCTGCAGTGCCCATGGTCACGTGGGGTCTGCGTTTGAACTTGAAAAATCTGAGACCTAGCTCCAACTCTGCTATTCAGTAGAAGCATAAACATGGGCAAGCCCCTCTCGGCCTCAGTCTCATCATTCATAAATACAGGTGTTGGATTGTCCTGGTTCTCAGCCCAGGCTGCCCCTCAGAATTACTTACAGAACTTATAAGATCAGATCCATAGGCCAGGCCCCACCCAGGGATTTAATTGGCTTGCAGAGGGCCAGGGGCATTCAATATGCTTTCCAAGTTCCCCTGAAGCCTCCTCCAGCTCTAGGATGCTGTTCTCAGGGACGGGTGGTTTAGCACAGCACTTAAAAGCCTGGACTTTAGAGTGAGAAAGGATAAGGTTCTAGTCTGGTTTTACACTTACCAGCTGTGACTCTGGACAAGCGAAGAGATTTGCCTCCAATGGGAACAGTTAACAATCTTCCTCAGGGGTCCTTGTAAAGATGAAAGGAAACAAGGGTGTATAACTCTCAGCTAAGTGCCTGGCAAGGTGCTGCTCTCTAATGGGTGTTTGTCCCCATGTGTCCGTCATACAAAGGTGTCTGGGGCTATGATCAGCAGTTCGTAACAAAAAGCAAATATCAGTCTCATGCAGCTGTTTTATCGCTCACTCACTGGGCAGTGAGTGGCTGGGCTGCTCCCCTCCTGCTCCCTCCAGGGGACCCAGGTCCCAACCAGAGAATCTGCTTTGTTTCTTCCACTCTACTCTGTAAGGGCTGCAAGTCCCCCAGGAGCCATGACCTGGACCAGAAGGAAAACCAGGAAACTCAGGGGGCAAACTGAGCTGAGCTCCCCAATAAGGGTGATGCTTCTGGCCTTTCTGGACAGAGAAGGACAGAGGGTGGGGATAGGGACAAAGGAGCAACCTGGCTTCAAGCATAAGTGTGACAGTTTTATGGCTTCAAGAGTTAGTCAAACCAGAGTCAACACCTGATTAAGATAGGAGTCAAAGCTAGTCTGGACAGCAGGTTTCTTACTTAGCTCGGGCAGGTGTCCAGCAAGTCTGAGGGCTGTAGAGAAAGGCACTTTCTTTTTCTGGGATCGTGGTGAATGGTTTAGATCTGCAAAACCTAAAACATCTTAAGAGTGCCCGCTGGAAAACTTTAGAAACAGACAATGAGATCTCTGCAGGTTACACCCAGAGGGTACATATCTGTAAGACCTGCATGCCATTCAGTCTCTAAGGGAAACACCGCCGCGGGTAGGAGCAAATCTTCAAGGAGATGATTCCAGTATGTTGCAGGGTGACCAGTCATTCTAGTTGTCCGGGACTCTCTTCGTTTAAGCTCTGAAAGTTCCACGTCCCAGGACACCCTTCAGTCCCAGAAGAATGCTTGGTCACCTGGTTGACCATTGATACTTTTATCTCCCAGACAACTTTTGAAAGTGTCACCCCAAATGGCTCCGTAAGCTTTGCATGAAGATACACACTGATCTGAGAAGGGGAAGCTGGCTCTGAGTCCAAGAAAAACCTGGATGGAAACAGCCCAGGAGAATGAGACTCTCCCGCAGGAAAGAACTCGGGAGCTCCAGTATGAAAGCTGGCCCATCGTAGGAAAGCAGTCCCCTTCGTGGACTTGGGGGGGAAAGTAGTAGCCAAGAGGACTTTTGTTCTGGAGACTCTACTCCTGCTGCTGTGGACTGATGACAGGAAACTTTTCCCAGCCAAGTCACACCATGGACCCATACCGAGTTTACAGATACATTAACACCTCTGTCTTTTTCAAGTCAAATACTGTTAAAACAGGGTGCCCCATCTTGAATTGGGGCTACTGTTAAGGAAGGCATGCACACGCACATGCGCACACAGACACACACGTAGAAGCACACATGCCCTTGCACTTTTACCTATTACATACTGTCTCGTTAGCTTTGGCCTACTGCTCCATTTGCTATATTGGATGCAGAATGCACTTTGACCTGTACACACTCCACTACCTCCATATTAAAATCCAGAGTCCACAGCCAGGCATGCAGGGTCCTGCTGAAAAAAAAGCTGCATTTCGGACCCCAACTAACATAGCCTCCTTCACCCAAGTGCTCTGACCCAGCTGTGCTGTTCCCTTGACCACACTTGGGCTTGAGTCATCTGGCTCGACGTCTGCACTGCCCTCTCCGCCACCTGTGTCCTTGGCTAAATCCTAAATCCAAACTTACTTCAGATTCCTGGGTCAGAGATGGCTTCTCTGCTAGTCTCTGTCAGTTCTTCCTAAACTCAAGCAGCAGACCTTACCGATACAATTCAATTAGCAATCAGTTCTGTTCTGTTTTGTAAATCCCTTCTATCTCAAATTGACTTAAAAGTTTTGCAACTTTTAGTTATTTTGTGATTTTTCGCCAAACCTGGATTGCAAGCCCCTTGAGGACAGGGACAACTCTTGTCCACTCTTTGTATCTCCTAATGAAGTGCATAACCCAGTGTTTGCACAGAGTAGTTGCTCAATAAATAAATGCTGGTTTATTAGTATGGATCCTTAGGGCAAGGGAAACCCTCACAAAAAGTATTTCAAGAATATAATGCCATGAATATGACCCCATGACTCCCTCCCAAGACAACATAGAGAGAAAATCATCCAGAAAATGAAATGTTTTCCCCTTAAGAATTGAAACCTGAGAAAATTCATGAAAAGCTGATCCACTGATCAGCTGACTTCCAAGGCTGTGCTTCCTGTTCCATCCACCATGGCTGGGACTTGGAGATACAAAGGCCAGGAATCAAACGGGCAATACTTTTAGTATTTGGAACTGAAATACTTCCTGGGGTTAAGCCATAGATCCAGGGCCTCAAGGAGCTCAACACGCAGCTTTCAGAAGCTTGGGAGGTGATAAAAGGGATAAATGTGGGTCCAGGGGACAGGAGGGCACAAATGGAGAGTGTCTTAGGAACCAAGAATTTCTAAACATGTTTTTTTTTTAAATATATATCTTTATTGATTTCCGAGAGAGGAAGGGAGAAGGAGAGAGAGAGAAAGAAACATCAATGATGAAAGAGAGAGTAATCGATCGGCTGCCTCCCACTGTATCCTGACCAGGAATCGAACCATGATCTCCTGGATCCTAGCTCGATGCTCAACTGCTGAGCCACACCCGGCCGGGCTCTAAACATATTTTAAGGATTCTTCGTCACTCCCAGGGAATCAGTAGCAAAACGTGGGTCAGTCCCTGCCTGTCCCTGTGCTTCCAAAGATGCTGTGTCCCACTAGTAGTTTTAGGCCCATCCCTAAACCTTTGGCCAATGAGTGTCAATCCTGGTACACTAAGAAACCCCTTCCCACAACTAGACGGGGTCTAGGAATATTTTTTTCTCTAAGGCCATTGACTGGGGATCAACGGGGTCCTGTTATCCCTCCAGTTGTCCAGGGGACCTGAGCTCAGCTCTGAATCCCCATTGACTGGGGATCAATGGGGTCCTGTTATCCCTCCAGTTGTCCAGGGGACCTGAGCTCAGCTCTGAATCCTCCCAGCAAATCAGTCTGCATATTGATACCCCTCCGCCCCCAGCTTCTGCCTGCTCCTCAGAGCCTGGGCTTTTCTTCCAGTTTTCCTCATCAAGTCTCAGCAGACCCTTCTGACTTTTTTTTTTAAATATGTGTGTTTTTTTTTCATTGACTTCAGAGAGAGGAAGGAAGAGGGAGAGAGAGATCAAAACATCAACGATGAGAGAAAGTCATCGATCGGCTGCCTCCTGCATGCCCCCTACTGGGCATGTGCCCTGGCAGGGAATGGAACCTCAGTCTTCAGGTTCATGGGCTGACACTCAACCACTGAGCACACCAGCTCGGTGACCCTTCTGACTTTTGACCTCTCCAGCCTATTTTGGTCCCCAAATGAACACACGGTCCTTCTCCAAAAAGCAAAACACATAGCTGTTGAGTTTAAGAAATGTTGCTGAAAATTTGGAGATGACACGGGGAAATTACAACCTAAAACTAAATATTAGCGTACACTGCCCGCAGATCCAGCACCATAGCATGTTCCTGCTGACATCTACCTCCTTAGCTCTAAGCCTTCACCAGGTTGCTGAGAGTAATGCTCAACGCCGGTTATGTAGGAGAATTCCCTGGAATTGTTTTTTATAATTTCTGATGCCCAGGCCTCATCCCAAGAGATTGAACTGGTCTGGGGTGGGAGTGTAGGAATTGCTATTTTTCAAAGTTCCTCAGGTGATTCCAACATGCAGCCAGGATGAAGAACCACTGACATGGGGCCTTGTAATCAGTCAGATAGACAGAAAAGTGAATGGCAAAGAATATGGACCCTGGAATCAGATTGTCTAGTTTTGAATCCTGTCTCAGCCACTGACTAGCTGTGTGATTTAAGATGCATTTCTTAAGCTTTCCATTCCTGTTTTCCTATCTGAAAACAGGAATAAGAGTTTGCCTACCTTGTAGAGTTGTCCATAAGATTAATAAATTAATACATACCACGGTCTTAGAAAGAAAGCATCAAGGGGCTTTTAGCTTTGACCATTCCATGTGAGCCATAATGGTGGCATGGCCCATGTTGGAGGCAGTGGAAATGGAGAGAAACTGATAAAGTCAAATTATGGCTGAAAAGATGAAGAAAAGAAAGGAATAAAAGACGGTCTCCATGTTTAGGACTTTAGGAATTAGATGGAAAGTGATGCCATTTACCAAGATGGGGAAGACTAAGAGAGGAACAAGAATTTTTTTTTAAAGGAAAAAAATCAAGAATTTCATTTTGCATGTATTAAGTTAAAGACACCCATTAGATATCCAAGAAGAGCTACCTATTAGACAGCTTAATACATAAGCCTGGAGCTCATGAGAGAGAAACAAATTTCAAAGTCATTATTGTATAGAACTGTGCTGTCTAACATGGTAGCCACTAGCCACATTTATGGGGGACATTTAATTTAAATTTAGATTAAAAGTAAATTATAAATTCAGTTTATCAGTCACTTTAGCCACATTTCAAGTGTTCAATGGGCACACGCAGCTAGTGACTGCCACATTGCACAGCACAGATATAGAACATTTTTATCATTGCTGAAACTTCTATAGGACAGCACCATGGAACCGTAGGAAATCATCTAGGAAGCAGTTCACATTTCTGGATACACATTAGAATCACCCCAGGGATTCAGTCGATTCATCTCGGGGAACTCCCAGGCATTTATAAAAGCTTCCAGGATGACTCTAAAGTAAAGCAGGGCTGAGAACCACTGACCAAGGGAAATAATGTAGGCAGAGGAGAGGGACCATGGCAGGACCCTGGGGTACCTCAACATCAAGGGCAGTGATCCTCAACCTTGGCTGCACACTGGATTCACTTTAGAGTTTACAGTATTACTGATGTCTAAGCATCCTACTTAGAGGGATTTCTGATTTAACTATGCTAGTGTCACTTGGCTTTCAGAGATTTAGAAAGCTCCCCAATGATTCTAATATGCATTCAAGATTGAGAACTACTGATTGAAAGAGAGTTAGATGTAATAAAGGTGACCTAGGCAGAAGAAACTAATAGGGTAGGATGAAAACAGGAGAGTTCAGTGTCCCTAAAGCAATGAGTAAAAAAAAAAAAAAAAAAAAAAATTTCTAGAAAGAAGATATGGTTATATCTGTTGAATGCTAATATTCAGTTCATTCAATAAACAGCCTGCAGCCTATTAGATTTTGGTGGGGTGGTGGGAGTGAAAACCATGTGGCAGTGGGTAAAAGAGCGAAAGGTTCATGAAGAAACTGATACAGTGATTGTCGACAACTGATAAATAGTTTTAGGTAAGAAGAGGGGCAAAGAGCGAAAGGTTCATGAAGAAACTGATACAGTGATTGTCGACAACTGATAAATAGTTTTAGGTAAGAAGAGGGGCAAAGAATCACACAACAGCCAGATAGTGACTTGAGGTCATGGACTAGACTTTTTAGGATATTAGAGTATGTTTGTATGCTGATGGACTACTATAATAAAGGAGAAAATAATTAATTATTCAGGAAAGGGGAGGGATCTGGCAGGGACTTCACTCCCTATCCAAATTCCATACCCTCCTTCCTCCTTGCTAAAGATCCTCAGTGTTTTTCAAGTATTCAGAGCAGTTGTCCTTTCCCCAGCTCAGAGATTAGCCTAAACCTTTGGTTCTCAAATTTCAGCATGCACCAGAATTACCTCAAGGGCTTTTCACAGCAAAGACAGCCAGTCCTGCATACAAAATTTGATTCAATAGGTTCGGGGTAGAGCTCAAGAATCTGCATTTCTCACAAGTTCTCAGATGATGTTGCTGCTGCTGTTCCCAGGGACAACCTCTGAGCCCACCAGTCTAAGCTCATGATGGTAATCCTTTCCTTCATAAGTAGTCTTAGGGATGGGCATTCATCCCAGTTCTGGCCAATGAAAGGAAGTCTCTGGGGAGATTCTAGGCAAGGTTTCTTTGGCAATAAAAGAGAAAGAAAATCCTCTCTTTTCACTGGATGTAGTCATATTGAGTGAAATGCCTGGAACTGTGACAACTATCTTGGAACCATAATGTGAGCTATACTATAACAAGTTTCCATGCTGGAGATATAAGATTGTAAAGATGGAAAGAACATGGGTTCTTGATAATGTTACACTACTGAATTAATTGATCCTGAAATCCCTGTTTTGTGAAATCACATATCTTTCTTATTATTTAACCATTTTGGCTTAGATTTGCTTACTTGAAGCCAAAAGCAACCTGAGTTATTCATGGATTCCCAAGACCTTAAGTAGATGAGTCAAGATCAGATGGAGGGGCAGCTCTATATACAAAGAACCAGAGATGCTTCCTCCCTGATGATATGACAGAAGGTAGAGCTGATAGATGTGGTGGTTGGAAAATTAAGTAGCTCCTGTCTGTTTCTTTTTATTGCACCAGATCATGAGATGTCAGGGGAGAAAACCATACAGACTGTTTGTGGAAAGGTCTTTTTAGAGCGAAATAAAAATAAGTGACTTGGAAGACACAATAAATTATAGCAGACTGCCCATTTGAGATTTGTGGTCTTAAATTTACAGTTAGCCTGATTGGGTAATTTACTCCAACAATGATAAACTGCTTGAGTCTAGATTGATATAGAGCAGATAGCTGACTCCAACTATGGTTAAGTCTTTCTGGGTAAATATGAAAGAAACAGAGAAGGGAGAGGGAGTAAAAGGCGTCTGCAAGGAAGTGCTCATGACCGTCGACCACAGAATCCAAGCCAGGTTCTTCCTATCCTGGTTAGTCTTCCTAGTCTTTGTCAAGTTTTGAACGGGTTTTCTCCTGTCAACCCAGCAGGAGCTCCTAGCATGCAGCTTGTATTAGTTTCCAATTGCTACATAGCAAATTACTACAAACTTAATAGCTTAAAACAAAATGTGTTTATCAACTCACACTTCTGTAGCCAGATGTCTACCACAGCGACTCAGGGTCTCATAAAGCTAATAATATCAAGTTGTCTGGCGAGCTGAGTTCTCATCTGGATCTTGGGGTCTTCTTTCAAGCCGATGTAATTGCAGAATAATGCAGTTCCTTATTGCTATAGAAAGCAAATAAAATCAGGAGATACTTAAGAAGTAGAATGACAAGTCTTGGTGCTTATTGACAGAGACAGGAGTAAAGGATGGTTCCCCGGCTTAGGACTTGAGCTACTAGGTAGACTATGAAGTCTAAACTAAAAAAGATGGTGGTGCAAGTTCAAGGGGTATAAATGTTGAATTTGGCTTTAGACATGGTAAGTTTTATACCTGCAAGATACCCAAGTGCAGATATAGCACAGACAGGGAAGACAGGGCTAGAGCTCAGATTTGTATGTCATCTGCCTAGAGGCAGTCATGGAAGCCTTGGGAGCAAACTAAATCACCTAAAGCAAGCATGTGGAATAAGAAAAGAGGCCTCTGGACTGAGTCCTAAGAAATGCTGACATTTAGAGGTTGTATAAAAAGCAAAAGTGAGAAAAAGAACTGAGGAGTGTCCAGAACAGGGTAGGAAGGAAACTAGGAGGCTGCGATATCATGGAAGCCAAGGAGGATGTGCTTCCAGGCGAAGGGAGTGGTCAACAGTTCCTGGGTATGACATGCGCAGTTGATCGTAAGAATTCTTCAATATCTGGCTCCTGCCTGCCGTTGCTTCATCTCCTGCCATTTCCCAAAACCTACCCTTTATGCTCTAACACTAATCTTGCCTAACTTCTGGACCATGCAGTGCTTTCTCATGCACCTTCGCTTTTTCATATGCAGCCTTTTCTCACTCCAAACCTCCCCAACCCTGAACCCCACTCTACCCAGTTACCCAGTGAACACGACCCATCCTTTAATACCTTATGCTGCTCAGTTCAGTTCTCCTCCACTCTTGGGCCTTCTCTGACTACCTCCTTCCCACATTGAATCAACATATTTCCCATTCTATTTGTCTACCTGGGAGTATTTCCATTACTGTGCTATCCTAGTACAATGTAGTAACTTATTTAACACCTGTGTCCTCTACTAGAATATGAGCTACCTCAGGGCAAGGACAATTTTGTATTCCGCTTTCTATAACTATAATTAACACAGCGTGGAATACATGGCTAGCTTCAACAAACGCTTCTGGACCTTACTGCTGCCTACAGGTCACCTAGGGAATGTGAATGTCCTGGGCTGGGGTGAAAGACCATGGGAACTGCTGACGTGGAGCAGGAGGGAAAGACAAGTGAGTAATAAAAGCAGAATAACTGAATCAATACCGTGTATTGATTGCTTCGCCTGTGCCAGACCACTAAGCCCTTTACAGTGCTCTAGCTCACTCAGTCCTCGCCACACGCCCTCTAATCGGTGCTGTCATCACTCTCACTTTACAGGTAGGGAAATGGAGGCTAGAGAAGTTAAGTCACTTTTCCAAAGTCAGACCCTGGGAAGAGGGGCCAAGGCTTAAACGAGCCCAAGTCTGTTCGGCTCCAGATCCCTGTACTCTCAAGCCCAGCTAATATTTGCGCTTGGGAGAAGTCCCCCGTGCTGACTGCAATGGGTGAAGTACAGTACTGCCATTCAGGAGCGGTATGTGGGCAGCAGGGTGCCCATGGCTGCCCAAGGCTCCCAGCACATCCTATGGGCACCGGCAGCTAGTGGTTCTACGTGGCCAGAAGCCATGAGGGACAAAAGCAACATCTCTGTGAAGGGTCTATTCCTCAGAGTGGATTTGACAAGGCCCTGGCATCCCAGGAGCAGGTTGGAGGGGTGCCGAGAGTGAGCCAATCGTTGCCACGTCAGACACTAAGCTGGGAGTGCAAGTGAAAGGTGAGGAGCCCAGAGTGGAGGGAACTAAGCCAAATTGCCAGGACTTGAGCAATTATCACCCCAAGGACAAGCCACTGTGCCCAAAATAACCTCCCAAGAGAGTTTTAACGGGTCGTTTTGCATACTTTGTCCCAGTACTGACTTTCAGGTCTGTGCCACTAGCATTGATTGGGCCCTATTATATGTTAGCACCACGCAAGGTGCAAGGATCTGGTCTTCCGAAGAGACAAGGCAAGCCCACAGAAAACAGTGGAGAGCTGTGTGACACGACACAGCACCGACCTGTGCAGTACAAGCCACAGAGGCAGCTGAAATTCACAGAAAGGAGTGGTCAGGGTGTGCTGGCACCCGCCGAGGTGGCTTCTTGGAGCACATGAACTGAAGGAAGGCAGACGGAATAGGAAGGGAACAGCATTTCAGGTGAAAAGAAGAGTATAAGCCAAGTGAGACGCAACAATGCAAATGAGTTACTTCTTTGGCTGTGAGCAACCCGTCTGTGAAGCAAAGCGTTCTGGTCAGGGACGAGTGAGAGATAAAGTTAGATGCATGGAGAAGATTAGATCATAGATGTCCTGGATTCCAAGAATTTTGGTCAAGCAGATTCAACATGCAGAATCCAGGAATTCATCGTGTGGGTGAGAAATCATCCCAGGCTTTACACAGGCAATTAAGAATAAAAATGTGATTTAGGAAGATTTATTGGCTGGTAGTGTTTGAGACAGAATTAGAGAGGAGAAAACGAACAGCAAAAAAACTGGCTGCCCCCTCCCCCCCAAAAAAGTCCTGAATGCTTCTTTGAACATCCATGAAATGTCTTACTGCATACAAACTTACAAATGTGGCTCCCCCCACACCAGGCTTCACAGTCCAGTGGAGATGACATTCATTAATCCCATAGTTACCCATTAAGTACCTACTAGTACCAAGGAATATACTGGGCCCTCGGGACACAGGGAAGAACTAAACAAAGTCCAGGCCCTCACGAAGCTCATTCTCCAAAGGATGTGGAAGACAATATAAAAAGCAAACTAATAATTATATCAATATAAAATCAGTACTAAGTGCTACTGAGAAAAATAAAGCAGGGCATTGGGTAGAGGATGGTGGGATGAACTGGTCAGGGGAGGCCTCTCCAAGAAAACGCCACCATATGTCAAGCCCAGAGAACAGGTAAAATGGAGATGCCGCTGCTAGAAATAAGGATACTGAGAAGGTGACTTAGTTTGTAAGAGTGGAGAGAAGGTGGGAGTCTTGTTTTAAGTGTGTCATGCTTGTGGTAGAAGCAGGATAACCACACAGGGATGTCTAGACTCTAGAATGCTAACCTTCAAGACCAGAGGAAGATAAAGGTTAGATAAGTAGATTTAATAATCATCTATTAATATTTGAGGGATGAGAGACCTTCTCTCCAAAACAAATTTATGTGGAGTGAAACTAACTCAAGGACCAAAAATCATTGGAGTATAAGATACACAACTAGTTTTATCAATGGTCTCCTCCCTACAGCCTCATGGAACCCCAGGGGGGGTAGTGACTTCAGTAGGTAGCAATCGGCTGGTTAACAAAATAATACTAGTAATAACTGAGGTTCATACACAACCAACCATCGAAAAAAACCTCTGTCCCTTGTTCCTTCAATCTCCAAGGCACAGTTGTAGGGACAGCTCTATTCTCTTTACCCCTTGGACCACATGTTACCCCTTTTAATTGTTTCCTCTGCACATAGCTCTGGGTACTTTCATGTTTGGAAGAAAGGGATTTGGAAAGCAAGATCAATTTTAAACTGGTCGTCTCTGTCTTCCTAGAACTGTCAATAAATAAATATTGGGGTAGACTCAAGGGTAGGGTGACCAGCTGTTCCAGGGTAGGGTGACCAGCTGTTCCAGACTGCTCAGAACAGTCCCAGTCTCTGCACTGTAAGCCGTGCAACTGGGAGAAACTCCTCTGTCCCGGCCAAAGAGGGCCCCTTGGTCACCAAGGCTGCTCAGACCTTCATAGCGATAACCTGTGCCTGACCTGTGTGTTGCAACACAAGGCTTTACATCTCTAAAGTGACATCAGTGCTTTAGAGCATGGGCTTAGTTTCCCAAGCCCTAACTAATCCCCTGCCCTAGAGGCTGCGTTCTCTTTTCCCACCCAGACAGAGAGGCTGTGTCAGACCTTCCTAGCTAGAGGGTGATCCTGGATTCCTCAGCCTTCTAATTCCCTTCATCTCTCACTCAGCCCCAGCTAACACCTAAATTAGGAACACCAGCTCCACGGGCCACTGCACTCCATGCCACTTGCTGCCTGCCCTCTCTGCCCAGCCCTGGCCAGCAGGCTGGTGGGGTCTGGGGATCAAAGTCAGATTATGAAAGAGGGAAACTCATCTGAGGTGGTGATGTGCTGTACCACTGAAAATCACAAGAAAGGGGAACTCCACATAAATTGCAGTCTGCTGACCTCGAAAGACACGCAGGTTGAGTCTGAGTTACAGAAACACCGGAAATACTGACATGTTAATTTCGGAGTTTTGGGTTCAAAGCTGGGCTAACTCACCTTCAGAACAGAAATCAGGGAAAAGCCCTGATATTAAGGTGCACATAATATGTTCGCCCAAAAGCCACAAAGTCTGCAACACTCACAGATCTTGGGAGAGCCTACAAGTCATTTCTGCCAGTTATTAGAGACTTTCCCAAAATTATAAGGAAGATTCAAAGAAAATGACAAGACCGATATTAATCTCTGCTTAGTCCCTCGTTACGGAATTTTCCTGCCTGAAAGAATTATAAGCAGGGGATACAATCTTCCAGAAATAATCCCTACTTGGCCCCTTGTCACCTTGACTGCTTATGTACAGACAAAAATGTAGAATGTTAAATAAGCTATTTAGGCAACCTTGCCCCAATCTGCACAAACCAACCCTATTTCTTGAACTATGAGTAGCCAAGGCAAAAAGTAGTTGTTATTGCTGCCCTTTTATAAACTGAATTGTCTGGGAAATTGCCTCAGACCCTCAAAGAAAGATTGCTGTTAAAATTTTCACTCAAATGTCTGATCCCTGAAACAGCTCTTCCTCCTACCCCTCCCCCGGGGGCTCAGCCTGAATGATTGTGACAGGCTGTTGCAAGGTTGCATCACTGACCTTTGCAATTTTCTGGCCAGTTTGATTTCCCTCTTCCTCCCCCTGCCCTCTCCCTTTCCTATTTTAAAGCCCTTTGGCCTACCCAGTTCTCTTTTTCCAGACTTGCTAACTCTGGCATATGGAGAACCAAAGTTAAATCAGACCCCCACCACACACACGCACACAGGGATAAGGTTTAATCCTAGTCACAATCAATCCTACTGTCCTCACACTTCCAAGAGTCCTCTCCATTCTTTAACTTCTCGCCCAGACTCTCTGCTCTCACCCTTCTGCCCCTCAGCTGTTTCTATGATAAGCTGAGCTGGCACAGTGGAGTTGCACCCCCCAGATCCAGGCAAGTGGCAAATAATTTTTGAGGACAGCATGAAATATTTACATTCCAGGCCAGCAGACTAACTTCTACCAACAGCCCCTCTTCTATTTTCGCCTCCCCCCAGCCCCCAACTTCACTTCTCAGTTGGGAAAAGGGGCGACTTGGAGTTAAAGGCAGTTCCCTGATACACAGAAGTACATACACAAACACCTGCAGGCACAGAAACTCACACACACACCTGTGCACAATGGCATACCCTCAATGAACAGTTACCTATCAGGTGACCCTCACAATGCAAGCACCTGTGCATAAAACCGGTCAGGCCCGAAAGAAACAGTATCAGTGTTCACAGCCTTAGGCGGAGCCCGGGGAGGTCACCCGTTCTTTACCAGGATCCCTCCCCCTTGCCTTCCCCGCTGCGATCCCCCCAGCTGTGGGAAGGTGACAACCCTTCTGAATAATAATAATAATACAGTGGTTTTTCTGTTAGATAGGACCCCCGATGTCCTCATTAGGGGTCCTTCTCAGCCTGCCCGGGCCGAGGGCAGCTGTGCGCCCACCCACGAGCGAGTCCTGCCCCAAATGCACTGGTTACCCCCCGGGCCGGCTCTCGCCCTTGCACGCACCTGGAGCAGGACCTCCCGCGTGCAGG